CTTTTAGCTGGACCTATTCTGCCCTGAGTGTGGGGCTAGTAGGAGCTGGGCTGGGCTGGGGGAGCAGGAGCCTACTTTCTGGAGGAGGGGAACTAGGAGAGAGATTGGTGGGGAATGATACACCACAGTCTGCATACATCTTGGCACGTAGGTGCCCTTACCCAGAGTGACAAGGGCTTGTGGGTCCTGTGTGAGGATACAGCCTGGGCGAGGGCTTGAGCTCTGGGCTGGGGGCAGAAGCCAGAGTACACACCCCTCCCTGTGGTGTGGATGCTCAGCTGTGGCCTGAGGGGGAAGGGAGCAGGAATGGCTGCAGTGCCCTAGGGCTGGGCTTAAATCTAGGGAGTTTAGAGGCCCAGAGTTCCAGGTGAAGACATTTGGGGCCGGGAGTGTATGCAGTGGTAGAGTGCTTGCCTAGTATGTGTGAGACCCTGAGCCACAACTGGGGAAAAAAAGAGACGTGGTGAGAGAATAAGCCCTGGGAGAAATGCTGAAGGTGCCGCCAGTCAGCCCCCCTGCTTTGGGAAGTCTAAGGAGCAGTGTGGCTATGGTGGAGCCCAGCTGTGGCTTTGAGTCCTAGGATCGTCCTGAGTTTCGCAGGATGTAGTTGCAGGCCCTGCCAAATGTCGTGGATTGAAATGCTGGTGATCAGGGCTATGGCAGGGAATGGCGTGGGCCTCTTGGGGAGTGTGGGTTGTTGGGTGAATCCCTATGTAACTCAGGCTTTGTTATTTTGGGTATAACAATGTTGTGTTGGGGACAGGATACTGTGTCAGGTCACCCTGTGCGTGAAGGTTAGGGTCTGACACTGTGTGCCCATCTGTCTGCACGAGTGGGTCCGGGGCTGGGGATGTTTGAAACACACAGGTTGAGGTGTCTATCAGGCACTGGTGTGTGTGAACGGGAGAGCTGATACTTGTCTGTGGAGGGTGGTAGAGCCAGGTGCAGCATTACTGCAGTCAGCCAGTTAGCACCTGTGACAAATTCTGCCTTTGGGGTTATGTGTTAGTATATTTGGAGGGGGGGGCATAAAAATATATTCAAATTGTAAAGAATGAAAGTAGGACACCCTGGCGTGTGTGTGTGTGTGTGTGTGTGTGTGTGTGTGTGTGTGTGTGTGTGTGATTTGCAGTGTGTCTAGTAATAGGGCCTGGATCACTATCCAAGGTTTTTTTTTGGTGGGGAGGGTCAAACTCTGGGCCCTGAGCTAAATCCCCGGCCCACTACCCAAGTTTGTTTGTTTGTGTTTTTGAGACAGTGTCTCACTATATGGTTGAGACTGACCTGGAACTCACTGTGTAGCCCAGGCTGGTCTGGAACTCACAGCGATCCTCCTGCCTCAGCCTCCCGAGTGCTGGAATCACAGGCGTGCGCCACCACGTGCCCAAGTTAGAAGTGTCTCCTTGGGACACCTCCAAGCATCCTGGAGAGCAGGCCCTAACCTTCCCACTCCAAGTGGGGAGGACTCAGCACCCGGTGCCCTTTCTGGCCCCGTGGGCAGGCGTCTGCCCATCTTCCCACCTGTGACAACACCCGCATCCACGTGGCTTGAGGCCTGGCAGTGCAAAAGAGGGCCTTCTGTTAAGGAGGTCTAAGCCCGGGCCCCGACTTTAGTCTGGGTTGGGGCAGGGAAGCCTGGAGTGTCCCCCTCCCTACAAGTGGCTTCACCGGCTGAAGGGCTGAAGTCAGAATGTGCGTCGGTCCAGAACACCCCATCCGCCCTGGGACTTCCCTAGGGGCCTAGGGTGACAGCCCAGCCAGAGCCAGCCCTCCACCGGAGAGACCCGGCGAGCCCCGTGATTTGGAGGTGTGGCTGGCGGGTGGAAGGCACTGAAGTCGCGCC